TAAGAAGACCAGAATCCTAAACATGGCTTGATAGAATATAATTTGTTATGAATCGACTCAGATGAACGTTGTTGCCAACGGTTGCGAAGGTGGTTAGAGATTACAGCAAAATAGTCTGAGAATGGAATACCTCTATATGAAACATGAAAGTCATGTACCGCTGACCGCGCACCTCATTGCCCTGAACTTCAATATAACCAGGGACCCAACAGAAAACGATTTCTTTGTTTTTGCTAGAAATGCGGCGTAACTAAATCTGTATATGAAGATCTAGGGGGGCGAGGCGAAGTAATTTTTTTATAGCCTGCAAAGCACTAAAGGAATCTGAAACTACCACTAATGCTAAATGCATACAGTTCAGCTTTGAAAATGCTAGCTGAGTCTAATAAATGACCTCGCACAACACTGAGAACAAACACTGCTGCAAACCGTACACCGTCAGAGGATTTAGGACCAACAGGACGAGCTTAGGTAACTTGAGGACGAGCCAGTGTAACTTGAGGACGAGCCTGGGTAACTTGAACACGAGCCTGTGTAACTTGAGGACGAGCCTGTGTAACTTGAGGATGAGCCAGGGTGACAAAGGAACAGTATATACTGACATTTATTTATTACACATGCAAGCCTGAGGCAAAGGACTTACACATTTAATAATGAGTCTGAAGTATAGTTTACATAACTGTAGTACTGGAATCAATGGAGCTGGTTTTACATGATGATGAGGCTTCTTTGCAATTTGAGATGCGGCAAATGTCCAGACATGAGCAGGTACATATATTGCCTAATGAAGTACTACGAACACAGGTAGAAATAAAAGGCCTGTAGTACCTGACTGTAAGTCACGTCCCCAGCCAAGGAACAAACCACGAGAATAAAATCAAACGCAAACTCCAAGTGTAGTTTTTTGAGTATCCGTATATTCCCACCACCAATATTTGCAATATGTACAAAGTGAAGTAAAGCAGCAATGTAGACAAATAACATATAAATCAGAGTAATAATGTGAGAGAGAGAGAAAGACAGAAGGAGAGAGAGTAAAGCGAGCCATTTGGAACCAATCCCTCTAGGATTTTCTAGGTGTAATTTAGGATGCATCTTCCTCACCTTCGTTCCAAGGTCTACAGGTCAAGGGACTTCATTCCGAGTAATTTAAGAGTTTGACTGAACTTATACGTGCAATAAAGGTTTTTTGTACATTATGCAGATCTGCAATTTCGCCTGCCTTGAATAGGGCTGAGAGTGTGCAACAATATTCCAGCTTACAGAGAGGTGACCATCAGTGGCTTGGCATCCCTTGTTCTGAAGGTTCTCAAAATACATCCAATCATTTTCCTCACGGTTGTGATAATGACTCTGATGTCATCCTAGAAAGGATATTTAAAATTATTACACCTCAGTCCCTTTCATCAGTTTCTCGCGCCAGGAAGTGGTTAGAATTAGTTTTACGCTCCGAACAATTGAATGCTCAGAATAACTGAAATCTGTCCTCATTGAACATTAAATAATTTTCTGTGACCTGCTGAAAGACGCTTGATATTAGCTTGAAGATTTGCTGTACCCTCGATGGATGTCACTCATGCAAATTCTAGTATCATCTCCAGTGGATGATTAATGCAGCTTTTCACTGGCAGCCTTTAACTTTGTTGACAGTTACTCTTTTTGTTCTGTTTATGAGAACGTTCAAAATCCATCTGCCCCATTTTCCATTGATTCCTTTTGAATGCATTTTGTTCGCTATTACACAAGAGTCACACTTGTCAAAGGCTTTTGCAAAGTCTTTGTATACCACATCCACATTTTGCTTGTCTTCCAGTGCATCTAAGATCATGTCGTAGTGTTCCAGTAGCTACGAGAGGCAGGAGGAAGCGACCTGCTCTAAACTCGTGCTGCCCTACGTTGTTCATTTGTTGTGAGGTCATGTGGTTAGCGACTTTTCTTTCTCTCACAATAGTGCTACCTCCTTCTTACCCTAACAGTGCCACTCCCTTCTTTCCCCAACTGTGCCACCTCTTCTTTCCCCAACAGTGCCACCCATTCTTTCCCCAACAGTGTCACCCCCTTCTTCCCCAACAGTGCCACTCCCTACTTTCCCCAACAGTGCCACCCCCTTCTTTCCCCAACAGTGCCACCCTCTTCTTTCCCCATCAATGCCACCCCGTCTCTCTCCAACAGTGCCACCCCGTCTCTCTCCAACAGTGCCACCCCGTCTCTCTCCAACAGTGCCCCCCCGTCTCTCTCCAACAGTGCCACCCCGTCTCTATCCAACAGTTCCACCCCGTCTCTCTCCAACAGTGCCACCCCATCTCTCTCCAACAGCGCCAGCCCGTCTCTCTCCAACAGTGCTACCCCATCTCTCTCCAACAGTGCCACCCCGTCTCTCTCCAACAGTGCCACCCCGTCTTTCTCCAACAGCGCCACTCCATCTCTCTCCAACAGGGCCACCCCCTCTCTCTCCAACAGCGCCACCCCGTCTCTCTCCAACAGGGCCACCCCGTCTCTCTCCAACAGTGCCACCCCGTCTCTCTCCAACAGTGCCACCCCATCTCCCTCTAACAGCGCAACCCCGTCTCTCTCCAACAGTGCCACCCCGTCACTCTCCAACAGTGCCATCCCGTCTCTCTCCAACAGCGCCACCCCATCCCTCTCCAACAGCGCCACCCCGTCTCTCTCCAACAGTGCCACCCCGTCTCTCTCCAACAGTGCTACCCCATCTCTCTCCAACAGCGCCACCCCGTCTCTCTCCAACAGTGCCACCCCCTCTCTCTCCAACAGTGCCACCCCATCTCTCTCCAACAGCGCCACCCCGTCTCTCTCCAACAGTGCTACCCCATCTCTCTCCAACAGCGCCACCCGTCTCTCTCCAACAGTGCCCAACCCCATTCTCTCTCCAACAGTGCCACCCGTCTCTCTCCAACAGTGCTACCCCATCTCACTCCAACAGCGCCACCCCGTCTCTCTCCAACAGTGCCACCCCGTCTCTCTCCAACAGTGCCACCCGGTCTCTCTCCAACAGCGCCACCCCGTCTCTCTCCAACAGTGCACCCTGTCTCTCTCCAACATTGCCACCCTGTCTCTCTCTAACAGTGCCACCCCGTCTCTCTCCAACAGTTCTACCTGATCTCTCTCCAACAGCGCCACCCCGTCTCTCTCCAACAGCGCCACCCCGTCTCTCTCCAACAGTGCCACCCTGTCTCTCTCCAACATTGCCACCCTGTCTCTCTCTAACAGTGCCACCCCGTCTCTCTCCAACAGTTCTACCTGATCTCTCTCCAACAGCGCCACCCCGTCTCTCTCCAACAGCGCCACCCCGTCTCTCTCCAACAGTGCCACCCTGTCTCTCTCCAACATTGCCACCCTGTCTCTCTCCAACAGTGCCACCCCGTCTCTCTCCAACAGTTCCACACCATCTCTCTCTAACAGCGCCACCCCGTCTCTCTCCAACAGCGCCACCCCGTCTCTCTCCAACAGCGCCACCCCGTCTCTCTCCAACAGTGCCACCCCGTCTCTCTCCAACAGTGCCACCCCGTCTCTCTCCAACAGTGCCACCCCATCTCTTTCCAACAGTGCCACCCCGTCTCTCTCCAACAGTGCCACCCCGTCTCTCTCCAACAGTTCTACCTGATCTCTCTCCAACAGCGCCACCCCGTCTCTCTCCAACAGCGCCACCCCGTCTCTCTCCAACAGTGCCACCCTGTCTCTCTCCAACATTGCCACCCTGTCTCTCTCTAACAGTGCCACCCCGTCTCTCTCCAACAGTTCTACCTGATCTCTCTCCAACAGCGCCACCCCGTCTCTCTCCAACAGCGCCACCCCGTCTCTCTCCAACAGTGCCACCCTGTCTCTCTCCAACATTGCCACCCTGTCTCTCTCTAACAGTGGCACCCCGTCTCTCTCCAACAGTTCTACCTGATCTCTCTCCAACAGCGCCACCCCGTTCTCTCCAACAGCGCCACCCGTCTCTCTCCAACAGTGCCCCCCTGTCTCTCTCCAACATTGCCACCCTGTCTCTCTCCAACAGTGCCACCCGTCTCTCTCCAACAGTTCCACACCATCTCTCTCTAACAGCGCCACCCGTCTCTCTCCAACAGCGCCACCCCGTCTCTCTCCAAGCGCCACCCGTCTCTCTCCAACAGTGCCACCCCGTCTCTCTCCAACAGTGCCACCCCGTCTCTCTCCAACAGTGCCACCCCATCTCTTTCCAACAGTGCCACCCCGTCTCTCTCCAACAGTGCCACCCCGTCTCTCTAACAGTGCCACCCCGTCTCTCTCCAACAGTGCCACCCCATCTCTCTCCAACAGTGCCACCCCCTTCATCGCCATATCCACATCGTCCAACTGAAATCTCTCAAGTGAGGTTGACAAATTTCAATACTATATGATATTCACCCAGAGGGATGGAACAACTTTAGGAGGAAATTGTTAAGTTTTGTTCCCACTCTGTAACTATCGTATAGAATAGGATAACAGCACATTTTGTTGTTGTTGTTGTTGTTTTGGTCAGGTTATAAGCGTGATGGCAAGGATGGGGAGAGGATTGAGCAGTGAAAAAAAAAAAGTCGTGGGTAGACAGGTAGAGAAAAAATAAAGTGGGGTAGACAAGAAGTAGGTAAGAAAGGCTGTTGTTTGATAGGAAGAAATGGGTGGTTTTTATTTTTTTTTTTTTCACGGTGACGATTCAGCAGAAACACACAATAAAGGCCACTGTCAAGTTCTGGACCATTGTCAAGTCACATCCAAGGTGAGAAAAGTACAGAAGGCCCGACGACAATTTCTTAGGAGGAGCGGGGGAATTGTCTTCAGATCTTCTTTACTTTTCTCGCCCAGTTGGGACTTGACAATGAGCCAGGATGGACAAAGTTCCTCTCTTAAGTGTAGGTTTTTGGTGAAATGCTCCAGCAACGATTTTATGACTCTATATTCTTCTTCATAATGACGAATGATATTTTCTGATGGATATAACTTTGCTAGATAAAATAAATCACTTCGTATCTCCCGCACAGTGCCACCCAACATCCTGGATGAGGAGACCAGCACTGACGTGGAGGTGAACGAAGACTCTCCTGCGCTGCTGCGCTGCGGAGCTGAGGGCTACCCAGCCCCGGAGATACGCTTCAAGAGAGAGGATGGTCTGAGCATTCGTTATGCTGCCAAGGGAAGAGACGGTGCTGTTGGTAAGTCCTTCTGTATACACACACAAATCACCCACCCACAAGTCATGTGTTTGTCGACAAGTGCCTCTGACAACTAGCAACTGCTACTACTATTGATACTACTGATTCCAGAACCCCCTCCCCCCACGCCCACAACTATTTTTCTTCACACCCACCTCTCTCCTTCACAATCACAAGTTTTTCGCCTCACACATACAACCCCTCTATCACGCCCACAACAACCCCCTTCCCTTCTCTTCCCGAAATCAAATCCCCTCATATCAGTAATCATTCCTACCAACACTCACAACCTCCCCACCCATTCAACCTCCGCCCCCTTTACCCCATCGTTCGCTGCCAACCAGACGGCCCAGATATGTGTAAACAATAGGTCAGCAGAAAATGTGACACTATACATGACAAATACCAGTGCATGAAAGGTGTAAGATAAGATTTCGTTCGGATTTTTAACCCCGGAGGGTTAGCCACCCAGAATAACTCAAGAAAGTCAGTGCGTCATCGAGGACTGTCTAACTTATTTCCATTGTGGTCCTCAATCTTGTCCCCAGGATGCGACCCACACCAGTCGGCTAACACCCAGGTACCTATTTGTTGCTAGGTGAACAGGACAACAGGTGTAAGGAAACGCGTTGAAATGTTTCCCCCCGCCGGGAATCGAACCCGGGCCCTCCGTGTGTGAAGCGGGAACTTTAGCCACCAGGCCACCGGACCACAAAAGATGCGCTGACATATACAGTTTCGTAGGAACCAGTTCCTCTGATGTGTAAGAGCACAACGACCCTCATTAATCGCTATTCAGTTACTGTTTTTCACTCGTATTTTATCATGCGTGTTCGTAATCGTATTCTGCTGAAGATGGCCTCAGCCGTAGGTCGAAATAGTGAGACCAACGTAATTTTTCTATGTTTCTTTCCACATCCATTTTTCTAGTATCGTTAAGTTATTTTTAATTTTTGTTATATATATATAAATATATATATATATATATATACATATATATATATATATATATATATATATATATATATATATATATATTTATATATATATATATATATAATGTATATATATATATATATATATATATATATATATATATATATATATATATATATATATATATATATATATATATATATATTTATTTATTTATTATCACACTGGCCGATTCCCACCAAGGCAAGGTGGCCCGAAAAAGAAAAACTTTCACCATCATTCACTCCATCACTGTCTTGCCAGAAGGGTGCTTTACACTACAGTTTTTAAACTGCAACATTAACACCCCTCCTTCAGAGTGCAGGCACTGTACTTCCCATCTCCAGGACTCAAGTCCGGCCTGCCGGTTTCCCTGAATCCCTTCATAAATGTTACTTTGCTCACACTCCAACAGCACGTCAAGTATTAAAAACCATTTGTCTCCATTCACTCCTATCAAACACGCTCACGCATGCCTGCTGGAAGTCCAAGCCCCTCGCACACAAAACCTCCTTTACCCCCTCCCTCCAACATTTCCTAGGCCGACCCCTACCCCGCCTTCTTTCCACTACAGACTGATACACTCTTGAAGTCACTCTGTTTCGCTCCATTCTCTCTACATATCCGAACCACCTCAACAACCCTTCCTCAGCCCTCTGGACAACAGTTTTGGTAATCCCGCACCTCCTCCTAATTTCCAAACTACGAATTCTCTGCATTATATTCACACCACACATTGCCCTCAGACATGACATCTCCACTGCCTCCAGCCTTCTCCTCGCTGCAACATTCATCACCCATACTTCACTCCCATATAAGAGCGTTGGTAAAACTATACTCTCATACATTCCCCTCTTTGCCTCCAAGGACAAAGTTCTTTGTCTCCACAGACTCCTAAGTGCACCGCTCACTCTTTTCCCCTTATCAATTCTATGATTCACCTCATCTTTCATAGACCCATCCGCTGACACGTCCACTCCCAAATATCTGAATACATTCACCTCCTCCATACTCTCTCCCTCCAATCTGATACCCAATCTTTCATCACCTAATCTTTTTGTTATCCTCATAACCTTACTCTTTCCTGTATTCACTTTTAATTTTCTTCTTTTGCACACCTTACCAAATTCATCCACCAATCTCTGCAACTTCTCTTCAGAATCTCCCAAGAGCACAGTGTCATCAGCAAAGAGCAACTGTGACAACTCCCACTTTATGTGTGATTCTTTATGTTTTAACTCCACGCCTCTTGCCAAGACCCTCGCATTTACTTCTCTTACAACCCCATCTATAAATATATTAAACAACCACGGTGACATCACACATCCTTGTCTAAGGCCTACTTTTACTGGGAAATAATTTCCCTCTTTCCTACATACTCTAACTTGAGCCTCACTATCCTCGTAAAAACTCTTCACTGCTTTCAGTAACCTACCTCCTACACCATACACCTGCAACATCTGCCACATTGCCCCCCTATCCACCCTGTCATACGCCTTTTCCAAATCCATAAATGCCACAAAGACCTCTTTAGCCTTATCTAAATACTGTTCACTTATATGTTTCACTGTAAACACCTGGTCCACACACTCCCTATATATATATATATATATATATATATATATATATATATATATATATATATATATATATATATATATATATATATATATTATATATATATATATATATATGTTATTATGTATATATATATATATATATATATATATATATATATATATATATATATATATATATATATATATATATATAATATGTTTGTGTGTGTGTGTGTGTGCGTGCAGAAAAATTCACCAGTCTAGTGAAAATTAACGGTACCAATTCTCCAAAAATTAGAAAATTGATGATCAGCATCACAAACACAGGTAAAGAATTGGAACAAATAAACTCAGCAGTAGACTATAATGAATATTTTGCCTTCACCCACTATATACAGATATGTACACTATGTACAATATGTACAGATGGTGACAGATGGCAAAGTAGAAGCCAGAGAGAGTGCACCATACTCAACCAACAGATAGACAAGTCTGCCAATGCTTACCTCAAGTGAACCACGCTGCTTCAGCTTTGGTGGGGTTGCCTGTGATTGGTCAATGATCCAAGGTACTGATTTAACGGCGGGTACCCTATTGATCGTTAAACCCTTAGCACCCAGGTTCGCTGGTTGGGAGGCAGCCTATATTGGAGTATGACATGCACTGAATAAATTGTAACATATTCTTTGCATGCCACAGTCAGACTTTTCAGAATGGCTAGAGAAAACCTTCATCAGGCTAAAAATTTTGAAAAAAAAAATGCAGTGTTCGTAGATGTACTTTTGTTCCGAGTAGGGAAATTAAATCTAAAAAAAATGATCCCAAATGGACGAACAATAGATTAAAACATCTCATTGGTCAAAAGAAAGGCATATATAGGCGTATCAAAATAGGGGATGGGCAGTTAAGAAATCAATATATTCAATTAAAGAGGAAAATAAAGTAAAAGTAATAAGAAAAGCAAAAATGGATTATGAGGCTAAGGTCGCAAGGGATTCAAAGACTAACCCAAAAGGGTTCTTTCATGTATACAGAAGTAAGATTAGGGACAAGACAGACCCACTTAAGAGTAACTCAGGTCAAATCACTGACAGTGATAAGGAAATGTGTGAACTTTTCAATTCTTACTTCCTCTCAGTTTTTACTCAGGAAGATACTAGTGAAATTCCAGAAATAACAGATTATGTATAACAGGACTATAATAAACTATGCACGATTGCGGTAACCAGTGACATGGTCCTCAGACAGACAGAGAAATTAAAAGCTAACAAATCCCCAGGCCCTGATGAACTGTTTGCAAGGGTGTTAAAGGAATGTAAAGAGGAACTTATCAAACATACCTTTGGCTAATCTTTTCAAAATATCACTACAAACTGGAATAGTGCCTAACAAGTGGAAAATGACAAATGTAATACCTATTTACAAGGCAGATGACAGGTCCTTAGCTTCGAGCTATAGACCAATAAGCCTTACCTCCATAGTGGGAAAATTTATGGAATCAATAATTGCCGAAGCAATTCGTAGCTATCTCGAAAGGCATAAATTGATTAATGAATCTCAGCACTGTTTTACAAAGGGGCGTTCCTGTCTTACGAATTTACTAACGTTTTTCACTAAAGTATTTCAGGATTTAGATCATGGTATTGAATATGATATTGTGTATATGGACTTCAGTAAGGCTTTCGATAGAGTTGCACATCAGAGGTTATTGAGGAAACTTAAGGCACACGTAATATGAGGAGAAATTTTTTCCTGGGTTGAGGCACGGTTGACGAATAGGCAGCAGAGAGTTTGCATAAATGGGGAGAAATCGGAATGGGGGCAAGTCACAAGCGGTGTTCCACAGGGGTCAGTGTTGGGCCCCTTGTTGTTCACAATCTGCATAAACGACATAGATGAGGAAATAAATAGCGATATAAGCAAATTTGCTGATGACACCAAAATAGGCCGTCCAATTCATTCTAATGAGGACATTAGAGCACTCCAGGATGATTTGAATAGACTGATGCCGTGGTCGGAGAGTGGCAGATGCAGTTTAATATAGACAAATGCAAAGCTCTAAATGTTGGACAGGAAAATAACCATGCCACATATAAACTAAATAATGTAGATCTTAATATTACGGATTGCGAAAAGGATTTAGGAGTTCTGGTTAGTAGTAATCTAAAACCAAAACAACAGTGCATTAGTGTTCCCAATAAAGCTAACAGAATCCATGGCTTCATAGCAAGAAGTATAAATAATAGGAGTCCTGAGGTTGTTCTTCAACTCTATATATCTTTGGTTAGGCTTCATTTAGATTATGCTGCGCAGTTTTGGTCACCATATTACAGAATGGATATAAATGCACTGGAAAACGTACAAAGGATGATGGCAAAGTTGATCCCATGTATCAGAAACCTTCCCTATGAGGATAGACTGAGGGCCTTGAACCTGCACACTCTAGAAAGGCGTAGAATTAGGGGG